AACTAAACTTCCAATAGTAAACAATTGCTAAAATGAAAACAAGAATCTCAAGAGGTAGGGAAAACTGGACTTCAACTGCTAAAATACAAGGAAATATCTACTATATTCCAGAAAGAACATACTGACTAAATACATTAATGAATATTCTAAAAAATTGGTTACAAACAGCACCCCATACTCTTCACAGGTAGAAGCATCTTCCTGCTTCTGTAGGGTAAACTACCATTCCATTCCAAGCTCTTTTTTTTTTTTTTTTTTTTGGTTTTTTGAGACAGGGTTTCTCTGTGTAGCTTTGCGCCTTTCCTGGAACTCACTTGGTAGCCCAGGCTGGCCTCGAACTCACAGAGATTCGCCTGCCTCTGCCTCCCGAGTGCTGGGATTAAAGGCGTGCGCTACCACCGCCCGGCTCTCCAAGCTCTTTTCTAAGGGACATCTTCTCCTTATAACTTGTTTGCATCTTGTATCCTGAAGACCCCTGCCTTAGGATCAGGGCTTTCAGTGAATATTTTGGGGGGCCCATCCTTTCAGACCAGAGTAGCAAGGATAACTCTCCATCTCCCTTGATCAGATCCCCAGTGAGCTGTTTCTAGGTGTTTCTAGGAGCACTTCAATTACAAAAATTGACTTTGCAACTCTCCAAAGAAATTCTTTTCACTTTAAGACCATGGCCGTTCAGCCACTTGAAAAACAAAACTGAAATCTAATACTTCCTTTCAAACCTAAGTGTCATTTTTATAAAAGTTCAGGGATTCAGAATGTTCTGATTGATCAGTTATCATGCATGGTACAACCAGATGAAGAAGAATCTTATTTCCCCTACAGAAGCAAGTACTTCAGTCAAAACTTGTGATGGCTGGCAGCAGAAACACCAAAATAAAACCGAAGTTATCAGTATACACCCCTGTATCTAGAAAGGACCAGGCACACGTCTGCATCTAAGAACCATTTGCTCCATTGGTCCACACTGTGGTTGATACTGAGTCTTTCTACATCTTGTAGCTGATTCTCTATGGTGGACTTCAGAGCCACTATAGGCTCTACTCACAACTTTATAGTAGAAAAATAATGTCTTTCACTGTTTTACCGAAAAAATGAGGCCTGGAGGATTTTTGCCACCTCTCACAATCATGAACTGTGATCTAAATGGCCAAACCTGGTTTAAAGGGTTGTTCTTATGGTTGGCGATGAAGAACTGGCCTTCCTTCTGCTCGCAGCATTAGATAAAAAAATCACCCAATAGAAGAGTAGAAGAAATAGATGGGTATTGAGGAGTTTGAGATCATATTATTTTTAGTTTTGTTTGTTTTGTTATTTTTTAGAGAGATAAAGAAAGAGAAAAATAACATAAAGTTGGGTAGTTTAGACAGAGAGTTATGGAGAATCTGAGAGTAGCTGAGGGAAGGCAAAGAGTATGATCAAAATATATTGTATAAAATAAGATTAAATATAGCTACTTATGTATTCCTATCTCACTAGATAAAGTTACCAAAATGTCTTCTATAATTTCATCATCCCCTACCAAATAACATGAAAAATGATATTAATGTAAATATGAGACTTTAACTTAATTTGGAGGAGAATCAGGTTTTAGTTTGTTACAAAAGTAATTCTCTTCCTTTAAAAAGGGTTAGTGATTTCATATGTGTCTCATATCTAGACTCTGTGTTCTTCTAAAAATGTATGATTTATTTTGGGTCAGAAATATCACATATATTGATGAGATATATTGACTATTTTAACATAGGTCATTATTGACTGTTTCCATAAATTATATTTCCATAAATTATATTTCCTGTTAATATCTTTTAGTTTTTACATAATTAGAGGAAACCATAATTATTTTAACCCAACTCTCCATATGATACATATACATTGTACAAATACTAGTTGCATTAGAAGACAGTTATAACCTTTTCAACTATACCTGTACAAGGATCTTTTCAAGAGATTTTCTAGAAAATTCTTATTTTCATAAGTTTTATAGTCCAATGGACCAAGCTCATTCTAATATGAGATTAAGAATATGTATTCAGTGTATTTTAGGAATACACATAATGCCACTGATAGTATATATTACTATCTCTCTCCATTGCTTTCCAGATATTGAAGAAACACATTGTATTTCACAAACCACATCCCATGCTGAAATGCAAAATTCTTCATCCTTTTATGTCATGAAAATGCAGTGCTCTGCTGATATCAATGTGTAACCTAGGCCTGTCTCCCTGGAGACTCTTGGCAAGCCTTATATTGCTGGTCCTTCACAGGAACAAAAAGGGGCAAGTGCAGTTTTCAGTCTCTTCAAGTGATCAATAAGGCATAGTGAGGTTATGTGACTTCTGCCAAGAGCCTTCTGATTCAGTCTTCAATGTGCAGATTGATAGTGAAGCCATCCTTGGAACCCTGGTACAAGCTGTTCCATATTCTGCTTTACAGCACAGAGTCACATGGGCTGTGCAGTCGGATCCCTACTTCTTTTGAAGATGATTCTATATGGCAATCAAACTAATCAAAACAACTAGAATTCAGGAGGAAGCACAAACAGTAGCCGCACTTCTCTGCTCCAGTGCTGAAGGGCCAAGTTTCCAGAAGTGAAGCCCGTGTCAAACCACTCAGTAACATTTACCTCTCATTTTTCCAAGAACATCAATACCTTGCTCCTGTCGTCTTTATGTGCTTCTCAAACATTAAATAATCTCAGAATACACACTCTGTCCTTTGAATTTATCTTGACCAGCTGTCAGGGAAGGCACTTTTATGCCTTCTCTGTTTTCTGCCTGTTGGCTTTGTGTAGCTTCTGTAGCAAATTTGAATAGAAAATGAAAGGTACAGTTTAGTGTGATTTGTGACAAAGGCGAGAAACATGCTTCCAGCAAGATAACCTGCTGATTACTTTCCAGTTGTTTCTTGTTTTCTAGCTGGACACTTGGCATGCATTTCCATAGCACTTGAGCCTTGCTTAATTTTTATATGGAAAATTTGACAGTGTGAACGTGAAAACATTAAAAAGGATAATGAAATCACTAAATTAGTGTTCACTTTATCATGTTCATCTGTTTGAAAAATCTACCATAGTTTTATTGTCAGGATTATAAAGTGCATTGAAGTTCAGAACTTCTACTAATTATTTAAAAAAAAACATGAAATTAATATTTTAACTGTGAACTTGTATTGCTTCTTGAATTTGTATTTTCTCAATTTCCCTTGATAGAAAAAAGAAAATTCACGTTTCATTTAAAATTCTCTATTTTTTAAACATGTGATGAATATTCTGGAAATGTGAGTCCCGTCTCTTGAAACTCACACATTCAGTGGTAAGACACCCTGCGGGTTGGCTCAGCACTATCTGCAGCCGCATGTATTGACTTGCTCAAGTGGATCTCAAGTGCAGAAACAATTCTTTAGGAGTCATAGAAAGCTTTCCAGAGGTTAAAATACTGGAGATTAGCAACATATCAACTTTCAGGTAGGCTACTTCTAAACACTCATAATTCATTTACTGTCCTGAAAATCATTATTCTGAAGGTTTGATTCACTTGTGGCCGCACTTGGGTCTTAAATCTCATTTCAAAGTACTCCAATCATTCATCCATTTCAGAACTACCATTAGGAGTGATGGGGATTTGGCACAAAAATCAATGAGAGGATATGATGTGAATTCTTTCTAATTTTTTTCTTCTTTGAGTGCCACTTCAAATACAGGTTATGAAATCTGTTTTTAAAAGTAGTAGCCCACCTTGCTATCATTTCCACAAAATTGAGTTCATGAACTCGAAGCATGCATCTCCCTAGTTTTTCTTTTTTAAAAGGAAGTCTGGCAATATTATTGCTAATATCTATCAAAAGCTATTTTTTAAAATCTTATTTAAATCATCTCACCAATGGTGCCTCTGATTAACATTTTAACCTTTTGAATATCTAAGACCGTATTTATCATTTTATCCTAAAACATTCCTTGTGTAATTGTATTCTATTTGAACAATACATTGATATGCACTACCCCCTGGGTAGTCAAAGAATTATATGACTTTTATTTCTGGAAAGAGAAAGTGCCACTTTATGGACAAAAAAAAGTATTCAGACTTTATTAACTAGAGTGTTTACTTTGCATACACTATTTTCATATTTTCAATTGAAATACTTAAAGGATATTTTGTAAATTAAAATTGTACCATAAGCATTACTGTGTACAGATCTATTTCAAGAGCCCATACTTTATTTTCTAGTTTAAAGGATTTCTTATACTGAATATTTTTACCACTTATTCTATATCACTTAGCTAAAAGCAAATAAAAGCATGATCATATCTTGTTACAAACAAATAAAGCATATTTACACATTTAACCCTATCTGGAGAACAGTGGGAAAAAAATAGAACATTTTAACAAAAGTTGTTTTTGAATGGTGAGACTTAAAATGATACATTTAACTTATTTGTTTATAACTTTCCTATCTCATGTATTTTGGAAATTGTGACATGAGTTATAGATTCTTGAAGTCAAGTTAACTGATATTCTAAGATCTCCAACATTACTCTTTGTTCTTTGTACCTACCAAAATATAATGATGTCAGTGAGGTCAAGTTAGGCAATTAAAACAGGGTATCAAGAAAAATTTCATTCATTTGAACTACTTTATCATTAATTTTTATTCTCTCCATAAGAGGATTTTTTTCTTGCTTTCTGAACTTCAAGAGCACCCAAAATCAGAGGCCATAGTAGTAAAAGGCATCTTAGCCCCCAAACCCAGCTTCTAATAATGAGAATGGGAAATTGTACTGGAGATTACTTATCACTTAAACCCCCGTATTTCAGGATAAAATCCTGAGATTGGGGTAACGTCCTGATGGGCTATGGGTTGTTGTCTTGCACTTTGCAAGTATGTTCTGCTATAGAAAATAATAGCAGGGGTTGACTAGACTCACATAGCCTGTGTTATCTCGTCTCTTACATTTGAAGCTCATTTATGAATTATATTTTATTTTCTGGCTGTGTGACTAGGAAGTACATCTACAACAACAGCTGTGATAGACAACAAAAATGGATCTGTGCCCAAGTCCCCTGGAAAGGTGCTGAAGAGGACTGTCACGGAAGACATCGTGACAACCTTCAGCTCTCCTGCAGCCTGGCTTCTGGTCATCGCTCTGATAATCACATGGTCAGCGGTTGCTATCGTTATGTTTGACTTGGTGGATTACAAAAACTTTTCAGGTAAGAGGCCTTACATTGGCACTTTAAATCTAAGAACAAATTTTCTCCTAAGGTGTGGCATTGTTTCTTTCCACCTTGGCTTAGTGTGAGGAATTAAACACACAAGCAGACATGCCTTGAATCACCAGAGTCAGTTTCTTCTATTTCCTTTCTTGGTCTACCGTGTTCACTGATTTGAAAATGCAATCAATGTCCTCATCTTTAAAGCCTCATGCAGGCTAAATGCTGCAGCTTCATAAAAAAAACGATGATTAAAAAGCCCGGTGGAGATTTATCTTTGAAACTGAGTTAATCAACTATGAAGGAAGAACAACTGATGGGTTTTACACTTGACAAAATAAAATACAGACTATATTAAATAATTTTGGACAAACAAGATATTTGGAACCATTTCTAAGGCTCACTGGCATGTGCTATCAAGTTTCTTTTCCAGGCACACTCTGCCCTTTCTACTAACCTGCCTATTTTCAGTCTCAGAAAGTAGAGAATGTCAAGAGGATTTTCCCGGAATTGCTCATAATGAGTTACTGCATCTTGATTGTCCACATGCCCCTTATGTGTCTCAGCACAGCAGGAATAATGCAAGTGAGAAAAGACAGATTCTCACTCTGGGCTATTCAACCTTAGGATTCATTGTTTACCTTTTGTTCAAAGATATTTTATATGTTGAAATTGTATATATCCACCTCCACACCTGACACTTACTTTAATTCTCTATTGACTATGAGTTCCTGGAGGGAATGAATTATGTGGATATTCAGTACATATTCCATGAGTAGGTGCATGGATTTATGCCCATTACTGTTTTCCACTAGTGAAAATATTTCATTGTCATCTTAATGTGCTCTTCATGCACATTCTCTCCTCCTCCCCTCATTTTCTCTTTACTTCCACTGACAGTAGGATCTTTGGCATCTGGACACTGAGAGATGGAATCTATGTAGTCAGGAATCCTCTCCTTCTCATGGAATTCTAGTCATTCAATAATTCCTTATCAAGATCTTACTATTTGTTCCAGATAATGGATATGCTAGTTGAGCCAAAACTGTAATATAAATATCATAAAGGCATCAATGTCTATTATTGGAGTTTATGGATACAGAGGCATGAATGTTATGATTTCTGCCAGCTATGTCTTTGGTAGTTGGACTCTGCTTGGCATTGTTTACCAGAGAGATAAGACCAAAATACCAAACAAAGAGAGACACAGGTTTTTGCTCTAATAGGTAATACATTTACTGTATTCTTTCATAATTTTTAAAAGAAAATTATCTATAATTTAAAATGACAGAATTTTAAGTGAAAAAATATTTGTTATATTACTCTAGAAAACTGCACTTTTACTAAGTCTAAATGGACTGCAGTATTTCATATATCCTTTCCATTAAAACATAATTTCATTTACTTTAAACTCAAAACTAAATATGACCACAAATCATAGTTAACTCATTTTATAGTATATATTTTGAAGAGCTCCATGTCAATCTAATATCTCTAAGTTAATTTCATAAGCAGACACAAAAATTTGTTCTATAAAATGCAAAGCTACCTTCAATTACATTTTCAGATTACTTAAATATAGGATATATTTTCCATGGAAGTACTGTCATCAAGTGCTATGTCACAGGCATTTTATCTGATGGTTAATTCTTCAGTTAGTCTTCAACATGAAGAACAGCTCCACTGTGAAGCCTCCTCCTTATAATGCCTACATTTATTAATGATGAAACCATTCATTCCCACAAGGAGACCCTGCAGTCAGGTTTTTAAAGTCTCTTTGGATTGAGAGAATTCATTATAGCCTATGCTCCGTAAATACAAATGACTTACACATCTGAGCTTTCTTATCAGTGGTACAATATCTACCATTGCACTTAACACTCGTGTCTCTTTTCATGGAACTTATAAAATTTTGTACCAAATTCACCGGTCCCTTCCCATTAATAGATCCTTAAAGACATCTTCATAATGTGAATATCTGAAAAGGTCATGTTTTCTTGGTTGGCTGAGTACAGCAAATACCTTTTGTATGAAATTCCAGTCCTTGGCTGAGCTCTTCATTTTTATCTTGTAATTTAGTGCAGATATCCAATTTATTAACCATTCTTATCTGCTCATCCTAGGCAAACACAAACTTTTATTTCTTGCTGTCCATGCACAATGGCGTTTCCCCAGCTCCAGGCTCTGGTAGAGCTAGTGTGATGGTTAATACTTAAGAATGGGGACTCCAGTGCCTCATTTATCTGCTCTCTCAGACCATGCTACTTGATAACTCTTTGACAATGGACATATATATAGCCACTCTTGGCCTCAGTTTTTACATCTACAAAGTGGGGATTGTGAAAATATCTATATTGTAGGATTATATGAAATAAAACTTCTAAAGAAGCTGTGAAGAACCCATTTGTCATAAGTATTACACTCGGGGAGTGAAATTTTTCTTCACTTCTGTCTTGAGAAGGCTTATTCATGTTTCATGACATACTCTGTTTTTTTTTTTACAATGCATTCTGTAACATCACAAGAATAATGCACTGTACTGTATTTCCTTTCTTCTAGTACTATGTGGACACATCTATCTAGATGAATTAGTACAATGGATTAGAAATATCAGTTGACTTGACTGTATCAAGTAGAAATGCAATTTTTCAAAGCAAAGATTGTTTTATTCTTTTCTGTGTGACCATCAGACATATAGGAAGTCTTATGAGTCATATTACTTAAAGAAACACAGAATTCTGATATTTTGAGATTAAAGTTACATTTTACAGGTAAAGAAATATATGTATATAATTTCATTTCATTTAATGGAAACTTTTTTGAGCTTGACCTTGGGAATTAAGGAAATAGTGAAGTTAGGGAATTCTACTTGCCTTTTTAAAAGAGTGGTTATTCATGACTAACAAATTGCTTCAAAAATAAAAGACTTAATAAAGTTACATTTGCAATTTCAAATAGTATCCCTGGGTCAGAAATTTGGAAGTGGTTTATATAGGTTACTCTGCTTTAAGTGCTATCCCGAGATTGCAGTAAACACATTGGCAGAGACAGGACTTGATTATGTGAATGGAACTATTTGCAAGATGTCTCCCTCATCAGGCTGTTGACACTGGTGTGTCCCTACAGCATGGTTGACGGTGCCATCTCGATAGGAAGGAGCAGAGCAGAAGTCACATTCACCTCATGTTCTAGACTTGGAAATATGGTCTTTCATTTCTACAAAATTCTTTTGGTTTCAAAGGATAACTCTACTGCATATTGTTTGGAAAAGTCTTTAGAAGTATGAGTACAAAACAGTAGAGATCATTTGAATGGGATGTAAGGTGATGTGTTTGTGTCTGGCTGCTACATACCTCATGCACAAATAAATCTATATAAATTATACACCTTAGATAAAACCTCAGATGTATGGTAAGAACATGCAATGCTCTAGTTGACAAATGGATATTATAACAAAAACAGGCCCACAGGAAAACAGGCCATATTAAGATGAGCGCATCAATGGGTAAGAAATAAAAAAAAATTACAAAATTTGAAGTTTAAAAGGAAACAAATATTAAAAAACTCAAAAGCTTTTAGCTTATTAAAATTCAAGTGATTCATTTATGTAACCAAAAGAATACAAATTCAAAGAGTTGGCACAATTCTAACAAAAAAATGGAGACCTCATGTTAATCTTTATATGTATTAGACACACTCTCTTATATTAAAAATTCTAATTCCTTTCATCCATTTAGTGAGTTGTTTTGTAATGATTTTATTATTAATAGTATTAATATTACTATTTACATCCTGACCACAGTTTCCTCCCAGTTCCTCAATCCCACGTCCCCTATGCTCTTCCCATCCATTCCTTCCCCATTTCTGTTAAGATAAGGGCAGGCCTCCCATAGATGTTAACCAAACATGGTATATTATATTACAGTAAGACTAAGCACCTCCCCATGTAATAAGGCTGGACAAGGCAACCCAGTATGAGACATAGGGTTCCAAAAGCTGGCAAAAGAGTCAGAGACAGCCCTTGCTCCCACTCTTATAAGTCATACAAGAAGAGCATGCTACACAACTGTCATGTATGTGCAGAAGGCCTTATCAGTCCCATGCAGGCTCCCTGGTTGTCAGTTCAGTCTCTGTGAGACCCTAAGAGCCTTAGTTAGTTGATTCTGTGGGTTTTCTTGTGGTGTGCTTGACCCCTTTGACTCCTACAATTCTTTATTCCCTCTTCTGCAGGATTCCCTGAGCTCAGACTTATGTTTGACTGTGGGTCTCTGCATCTGTTTCCATCAGTTGCTGGATGACACCTCCCTGTCTGGTGAAAATTAGGCTAGGCACCAACCTAGGAGTATAGCAGAATACCATTAGAAGTTATTTCATGAACATGTTTTTTTTTTTGCCAGTCATGTTTGGTTCTGTTCTAGGTCTCTCTTTGTTTAGCCTCTGGGATCTGGCCACCTAGGCAGTTTCAGGGGTGGTCTCCCTCTCATGGCATGGGTCTCAGGCTGGACCAGTCATTGGTTGATCACTCCCATGATTCCTATGCCACCCTTACCCCAGCACATCTTATAGGAAGTCTTGCCTGGTTACAGGAGATAGGCAGTTCAGGCTACATATTCCCTGTTGCTAGGAGTCTTTGTTAGGGTTACCCTCATGGATTCCTGAGAGTTTCCATTGCGCTAGGTTTCTATCTCACCCAGAAATGCTCCCCCCAATTCCAGTTATTTCTCCCAGTACTCTCTCCCTCCATCCTCCTCCTACCTGATCCCTCCTATTCCAATTCCCATCTGTCCCCAGTCTACCCACAAAATCTACTCTATTTACCTTCCCTAGGGAGATCCAGGTTTCCCCCTTGGGCCCTCCTTGTTACTTAGCCTCTCTGGGTCTGTAGATTGTATCATGGTTATCTTTTACTTTATGGCTAATCGCCACTTATAACTGAGTACATACCATGATTGTCTTTCTGGGTCTGGGTTACCTAAATCAGGATGATTTTTTATAGTTCA